TCCATCCATCCATCCATCCATCCATCCATCCATCCATCCATCCAAAACGCTATTTTTGAAATTATGCGCTTGTCAAGGGGCAAGCAGTGATGAGCAATTGCGCATATTTCTACTTAGTGTAATAATCTAGAATTGCTATGGCAACCGACGCTTAGTTATCTACCCTGTAATGAACCAATTTCTATCCCACACGCAAACCCTTTCTTTTTTGCCCATTTTGCACAACTTGAAATAATCTAGAAACATCTTCTTATCAAAGAGCTTGGTGTTCTTGGTATCAAGATACTTTTCAGTTGCCTTCAATTTTGTCAAAACTGAATTTTAGATTATCTGCTCARGTTTTTTCCACTCTGTTATCCATGTTACGCTAGTCAATTAATATGACACCCAACAGAATCGTGCTGTGCTCTAAGAACGGCATCATGGGACCAAAAATAATGGATCCGCGCTCAAGCCTTCAAGATAAGTTAGTGGGGCCTCCGGCGTACATAAGAGCGAACTGTTTCCTCTGTTTTTTTCTTCACTTTATCATTTTATTGATAAAAATGAATCGATAAATCAAACAATAGAGTGCTTACAGAAACTTCAAGCTCAATAYCGGGCGGTCCGGGCGTAGTGATCAGCACGCAGTCATCCCTTTAAATAAGATCTCTGAGCTGTTTGAAAATAAAAACCTTGTGGACCAAAGGAGAGTGTTTATCAATTTCATTAATTTCTCAGTTCACTCTRTGAGTAAACGAGGCAAATTGGCTCTTTATTCAAGTAGGCTAAATACGTTAATGGGAGACCTTTTCCGATATCACGCTGTTGACTTACAGCTATCGAAAACTAATTGGCTTGTTGTGTTCTAGAAAGATCAGTGTGTTGCCTATTACTTGATTAATCATTAATATAAAAAGACTTTCATCTACCAATATTGGCTGTGTCACAGTTGCTTTGTACTGTTTTCTGCTTGTCAGAAAATGTTCAAACTGAGTTGGCATTTTGAGATCTTGCTTTTTGCGGTAATTGGGGAAAATGAATTGTGAAAAATTTGACTTGCGGATATTTYTTCTAACTTAATATTTTTCCTAACTTAATAGCTTGGGTTATTTGAGGGGCCTTTTTAGATGTCAGGTTCGTAGGAGAGCAGCTCGTGTACGACTATTAACTGGTTTCCTTGAGGAACCAATCAAAATCAAATCAACCAAATCAATCAAATCATCCAATCACATTGCTCGAAACAGTCCAGCACGAATTCGTGAGTTTTCTCCGGGTAAATTATGCGGGGGGGAAAACCTTTGAATGCGGCAATTATCTATTTACTTTAAATCCTCAAATCTGCCACTCAAAGTTATTAACCAAACTTATAACAATTTCTATTTAGACTAGATATAACATATATAATAAAGYCACACTTCATTTTCAATTCAGTTTAATGACATTAGTTTTGTTTGAGTCTTAAACATCTAGATTTTCAAAACTATTCTCTTTTTACTTAATGTATATCAMAAAAACTGAGACGTATTTGTCAAACAAAAAACTTCTTGCAAAATTGACGACATTGGAGTAATTCAACTTTTTACTTTAGCTCGTACATTTGTATACATATATTTAACTTTTTCGCACGTTTTTAAGCACTTTTCTATAATGTAACATTGGAAATCTGAATATTTATCATGAATTCCTAATTTCCCCTGAAACATTTTAGCCAATTTTAAAATTTTGAAAAGCTTTGATCAAAAGTTGAAAAAAAAAAATTTCTAACTGCATTATTGCTAACATTATTGCTAACGGTCAGCGCTGTATTCCTATATTGAGATCTACATTTCACAATTTTGATAATCTTAAGTGGTACGTTTTTAAGCTAAAGTTGAATTAGTTGAATAATGAATTCATTAATTCTGCTCGCAAAGGGCAATCATTGACGAGCAAAAACATGATAATTTTCGACCCAAATCGACAAAAATTCAATTCAATTTATTTTCTCACTTTCTAGAGTACTAGTTCTGCATTTTCTAGGATTTCCTTGATTGATATTGAATCAATCATAGGTTGWTTTGAAAATTGTTTTGAAATTGTTATAATTCTGTTTGAAGTCATGGAGGATATTTTTGAAGGAATTGAATTAGGCTGGGATAGYTTCGATTCTGGACGACGCTAAAGGATGGATGACAGTGCGCAATCTCATCATTAATAGAACTCTTTTCACCGCTTGTCGTATTTCTCTCATCCGCCAGCAATAAATCAGAGGATTCATGAAGGAGTTGATTATAACCACTGTCTCCGTCACGTCCACAGCAACATACAAACTCTGGTACCCTTCAATATTACCATTATKATTGTCACTGTTGTACATAAGCGTGGTATACAGAATGATAATCAGTACGCATATGTAAGGAATATAAAACAGGACAAAAAGACAATATACCAAGAACATACTAGTCACGGATTTGCGGTAGCGAGCCATGTTCAGAGCGCTGCCCGTTACGCTGCTATCATTGTGGCCCGTAGACTTGGACTGGGTTTGTATTTGGAAATTATGTCTTCGTAGAACGCGATAGATACTAAAATATATGACGGATGTCACTAACAGGAATAAAGGTACAACAACGCACACGCTTATGCGGTACATTGTCATGCTCCAAATCTGTATCGTTGATATTGCACCAAAGATAACCCAAAAGCTAAGCAGAATAAAAGAGACTTTCCTGGTCGTAACGATAGCCGCGTATCTCAAGTGCCAGTGTAGCGCAAGATACTTATCTATCGTGAAACCCGCGATAGTCAAAAACGACACTCCACAAAACATCACGCCGAAGAACGTGTAAGCAACCTGAACGGTGCACCAGTTATTGAACGGTCTTCCTTGAAGTTTAGGAACAATCCTGGCAACGTTAAGAGGTGAGACGAGAAGTCCGACTCCAAGATCAGAACACGCTAGACCAATCAGTAAAACATTGGAGACGGTTTGAAGGGCTGGAGTTATGCCTATTCCAAGTATTATGACAAAGTTCCCAACAATCGTAGGTAGGCATATCAGCCCATTAATGATGAGAATTGCCATGTAAGTAGTTGAGAAGACTTGTGTGTAGTCTGCGGGTTGGTTACCGATGAAGTAGCACTGATCATACGAGAAACGAGTCGAATGCGAGGAGTTGTACATGTTTTTTTCYTGAAAGTGTTTCTTTAATTATACAATTTACTTCTGCTTTCTTCAGTCATAACCTCTATAGCCTAAATGCCTGCTATATGAAATAATGGTGTCAAATAAAGGCTTGGAGTCTTTCACACCGATTAAGCTTTTTAAGAAAAGAAGCACTCAAAAATTAACAGTTTGATTCAAAGCCAAACAAAATCCCTCCTTAAGTGGTCTCCAGGAACTTAGTCTACGTCTTTCAAAGGAGAGACGAAAAGATGTCAATTAACGTACTTTTCCAGTCGTGTCATCTCCAGAATGGTGCTAAATCCATATTCAAGTCACATYCCAAAAATTTTCAGCCGGTGAATTGATAGCAGCCCGAAGAACAAACCAGTATTAAAGCCGGGCGATTTTTAATTACACTTCAATGGTTTGCCATACGCAGGTGTATTGCAGCCAAAACAATAGACTTCAGAAAATCGAGAATGACTATGTGTCAAGATAAAGTATATTACGAAGCACATATGTACAAAAAGAAGTTCATTGTTCGCATTAATTGCAGTTTATAGGATGTGAACAACAATAGATAATTCAATAGTTTTTTCTTCTGTATAATTCGCGAGTTATATTATCGTAATAAACAAAAATAGTTGACGCGCGCTAAAGACTTTTCGTCACGTTATCTTTACTCCATCTCTTCTTCTCTAAATTTGGCATTTTTTGAGCTCAGGTCGGCAGCGACACTGTATTGGTTACTTTGAACGGTGTCAATAGAAATCTGAGAGAGAAAGTCACCGGTGGAATCCTCTTCAACCTCAAGAACGTCTTAATAAAGGCGTGCTTCAATGGAGGTTTATTTATATTTATGTTTTCGCAAAGTTTGTTTATTGTTACGGGGTGAAGTTCCGTCCTATAGATTCGGCGAGGCGATTGAAGATCCTATCCCGTCGAGAAATATCATAACATTGATAGCGTCTTTCTTGGAACTCGCGCCAAAGAATGATCTTATTAATATGGCCGCCATTTTTCGTTTGTATTTTGTGTTTGTTTCAGCAATGGATGTAAATATTTTTGGAGTATCGAATAAAGGGTGTCGAATTGAGGACCTTTCAATAGTACTCCAACATGTCAAGTGAATAAACGTTTGGAACGATATTTGTTAGAGAGAGCTCTATCAGTAATTCGAGGATCTAGAAGGGTTTTTTTTGGTTCTTTTCCTAGCAACAAATTCACGTGAAACAAACCTATTAGAAGCAACGCTTCTTTTTCTATTTTTATACGATTAAGAAATTTTTTAATCTTGTATAAAAAGAACAAGAGCTATACGATATGATGTGTACATAGATTTAGCTTTAAAAAATGATCATGGACTGAGACATTTAAGTSCATTAAGTAGCTGAAATCAAGTAGTCTTGATTCCTAAAGCAATTGCAGTTTGAGCAAAAAATACTTTTTATTATTAYGAAGTGTCTAAATGACCGTCAGCCGGTCACAGAACTCAAATGACTAAATGGCCGGCAGTCGATTTAAAAAAAAAAATTAAGGTTATACAAACTAAATTCCAAACTTAATGCTCCTAGCTCGATAAAGAACCGTCAAGCGATTGCATTTCTGGTTCTAGAACGAAAAAATCGTGCTTTGTTTGCGGCCGGCATATTATATTGGAAGGTTGTTTTCCGCATGGCACTTAGATATTTTTCGACTGCCGGCCATTTAGTCATTTGAGTTCTGTGACCGGTAGTGTGCATATGTGACGAAAAATATCTAAGTGCCATGAAAACAACCTTCCAATATAATATGCCGGTCGCAAACGAAGCACGATTTTTTCGTTCTAGAACCAGAAATGCAATCGCTTGACGGTTCTTTATCGAGCTAATAGAACAGATGTTCTTTGAATAAGTGAAATCCATTACGACGGGCGTTTTCCAGAACTTAATCTATGTCATATTTGAATAGTTAGTTAAATCTTTAGAGCTATTTTAAATTAAAAACTACTCCCAACCCTGTCTGTCGTTACAGACGAAAATACTATCACACGCTGAGTTTGTACGAATATTACTGAATTGAACTAAGGTGACTTTTTTTAACCGATAAAAGTGCGCGCACCCTAAAAATTTCAAATTAACACTTCAATGTTGATTGCAGTGCTTCATTTAATGATGGCATAGACTCTACAGATGCTAGAAATAATATTAAAGAGAAATATGTTTTTAGTTATTCTGTTTGATTAAAAAACAACAACCAAAACATCTGCTTTAAAATAATATTCAACAATTATTGTTATTATTAACCTGGAGCAAACTCCACATCTATCGCTACTCTTRAGTCCTTTGCATTTTTCAAGATGCTTTGCTTTCTATAAAAGCTTTGATTTGTCATTGAGAGTTTCTGTCTTTTATCAAAAAAATATGTTTTTTGTGAGAAATTCGAACATATGTTTCTTCTCTTTAAGATGGCCGCTTCGAAGCGCTGCCTGGTTGATTGTGTCAGGAAACCATTCTTTGCGTCATTCATATCCAAAATAATAGTTAACGCAATTTAATTATTAATATTTTTTATGTGCAGTTCTAAAACACTTTAGGGATTAAATCAAATAGTTCCTTGTTGGTTGTTGTTACATTTATGTATCATATGTAACGATTTTTATTTCCCTGAGGATGGCCCCGGAGGGGGAACTACCACCCCAACTTAGGTAGGGGTGTGCCGCCAGGACCTCAAAACCCTGACCCTATCCCAGACCTAAAATTTTGATTTTACATACCCTACCCCAGACTAAAACTAAGAATTGTACACCCTATCCCAGACTAACGGTTTTTCAATAGATTTCAATCAATATTTACTAACGTTTTTATTGTTTTTGTGCCGGCAGAAAGCGTAGTCTATTCGCCAGACAAAAATGACCAAATAGTAGCCCTATCCCAGACTAAACTGATACCCTATCCCAGACAAAATGTCAAAAAATGATACCCTACCCCAGACCCAAAAGCCGAAAAACCATACCCTATAGGGCGGCACATACCCGTATAGCAAATATAGGGGAGTACCCCCCCGGGACGATGGCCGAGTAGGCCAAAAGCTCGGAACATATGTATTAAATCTATTGTTGATAACACAAATTATCATGACTTTAGGGATTGGCAGAATACAAGAGAAGTGTTAGAAGAAGCTTCATTTCACTGCACACAGCACACGCGCAGGGTATGAAGTGCTACCCTTGTCAAGGACGAATGGTTTTGTAATGCAACGTTTTCATTAATGGAGTTAGTTAAGTGTTGCATGATTAATGTTTGAAGTCAAGTTAAGAAGTCATCACCACCACTCACCATCATCTTACCTCCACTCCCAACCTAACCACACTACCGCTAACAACAATATCATCATCATCATAATATATCATCATCATCGTTACGATGTATCATCATCATCATCATTATCATCGTTATGTATCATCATCATTAGCATTATCATAATCATCCCTATCGTATCATTACGATGTATCATCATCATCATCATCATTATGTATCATCATCATTAGCATTATCATAATCATCCCTATCGTCATCAGCATCAGCAGCACTCTCACAATCATTATCATAGTCATCACCATTGTCATCAGCATCAKCAGCAGYAGCACCATCATCATCATTGCCATCGCCATCATCATCATTAGCATCAACAACTTTATTATCATTTACAAAATTGAAAGTTCTTTCAAAATTTTCTTATTGCGACTGGCCTGTCGTCTACATTGAAAGTTTTCTTTTGTCGCAAACAACAACACAAAGAAGTAATAATAAAACCATTTGGAATAATTAGAAGGACAGGAACGCTTTGAGAGGCCCATTCATAACTCGAATCCTTAGTAAAAAAAACATTTCTTAATTTGACGTAACTTGTGTGAATAAGATAACATCCAGGATGTTTGCGGCGAGTTAAAAGTAATAGGTTAAAATTGAAAACAATTGAAAACAATTCAATAAGAAAACTAGTTGTAAAAGACAACGTTTCGCTGTCATCTCGACAACATCATCAGGTCTAATGAAAACTATAAACTCTACTATCTACTATCTCTACTATCTACAATCAAAWTTTTAAAATTGAAAAATTCAATAATTATTAATTCCGCTGTCTGAGAGCCGTCATTTTAGTTTTGCAATATTATAATCATCTTGGCAGAACAGTTGCTGGAATGATCGTCTGGCGAGAAACGAATCCTGTTGTAATGGCGACGCACTTTTTCTTGATCGCATTTTAATCCTTTTTTGTTCTTGTTTTTTTGTTTGCTTTTTTCCATTGTTATACTTTGTCATGAAATATACTGAGTGCGAAATAAGGAAAAGTAAAAAAGAATGAAATCATGCATGATTTCTGGTAGGGTATACTAACGAATATCACGTACAGAACATGGAACTAAGTCATTCATTTGGTTTTTTTTTATCGTGATGTAGTTTAAATATTTTTATTTTTACAGATATCTTTAATATCCCCATCTGTAAAAAGCCTCATGGTGCAATGTACACCATGATAACTAGTTCCGTGGTGCACGGCGCGGTAAAGATAACTAGTCCCATGGTGCACCGCGCGGTTTGGATAATTAGCCCAATAGTGCACCTGCCGGTCAGAATTATCCGTCCCATGATGCACCGCGCGGTTTGGATAATTAGTCCCATGGTGCACCACGTGGTTAGTATGTCTAGTCCCATGGTGCACCACGTGGTTAGTTTAACTAGTCCCATGGTGCACCACGTGGTTAGTATAACTAGTCCCATAGTGCACCACGTGGTTAGTTTATCTAGTCCCATGGTGCACCACGTGGTTAGTTTAACTAGTCCCATGGTGCACCACGTGGTTAGTATAACTAGTCCCATGGTGCACCACGTGGTTAGTTTATCTAGTCCCATGGTGCACCACGTGGTTAGTTTAACTAGTCCCATGGTGCACCACGTGGTTAATATAACTAGCTGTACCATGGCTGATCTCTCGATCAGATTAACCACGCAGATAATCATGGATATACTCTTACACAGTTTCTTTATCAGATTCTATTGTCTTTGTTAATAGCTCCCGTAAAAGGGCTTCAATATAAAAGTACTTGAGATGTTACTACGTTCAGCACTATCGAGTTCCTTCAGGTTTTCCCTTGATACCGATGATAAATCTTCAGTGAACGAATGAGAGGGTGTTGAACCATGCAGTCGTGCCTGACTTCACGCTCTCTATTCGCCGCACGTCATTGTTGCTTTTTTTTCTATTTAACATGAATGAGCATTGAAACAGTTTCTGTAAGTCTGTAAATCCAAACGTACAACGTCATTTCACATTAAGAACTATTTCAATAATTCAAGGTCGTGTTTTGTAAAAAAAAAAAAAATCATTTAACATAACTGACATGAAAAATATAGACATTTCGGAACAACTTAAAGAAGCACGTACCCATGCTTGATTAACAATCCTTCCAAGAAACACTGAAAACAACGATCGAATATATAAATTTTTCAACTTTTACTAAACACAACTCTCTTGAAATTCAATGTTCAAAGAACCCCGAAACATAACAAGGTCAAGATTTTTTCTTCTCGTAGCCTGACATAAATCATGTTTCAACTCGTCGTGCCAAAAACTTCAACTTCAACGAGAGTTTCCGGTCAATAGAAAACTATTGAATTTCTAAGCCATGATTTTATTCTTATTTTTTCTTCATGAAAAACATTTCTTTCCGTCATTACGGACGTTTTTATTAATTTTTGAAAGTGTGTTATTTACTTTTYCTGAGTTTAGTTTACACGAACTTCAATCAATAATCCTGACTTGGCTAGCTTGTTTACTGTATTTACGAGTTGAAGGAAGCGTAGAATCGAAGTTTTTATTGTTGTTTGTTTTTCGGCGTTGGTTAGCGAGAAAGGATGGAGCGTATGTAATTTTAATTATACAAATGCAATTACAGAGGCAAATTATTAGATGGTCTTTGAATGAGGCTTTTAAAATTGTCCTCTTTAACTTATATTCGTTGTATATATATTTTATGCGGGGTTTTTTCCTCCGAAGTTTCAAAAAAGCAAAGCTATTTTTATCAGGCCATGAAAATGTTTTTCGGAAAAAATTGAATCAATGCAATAAAATTCTTTATATAGATATAG